GCGACTCATGGCCGGGTGAAAGAACAGGGTAATAAAGTTCCTGGACTTCTGGTGGTAGCTCCTCGTAAGGTATAGTTACGCTGAGTCCATCTGGGTTAACTACCACACGTTTGTTGCTCAGGTCCTTACGCTTTTCGGGCGTAATTTCCAGTCCACGTTTTGTCCACTTCTGTAGGGCTTCAGTAGTGCCCGGAGAAACATGCTCACGTAAGTGCTGTGCGTGTTTTCCTGATCCTTACATTCGATCTACATGTTCAACCGTCATGCCTTTCATAAGCGCGGCTAACTGATTCTTAAGATCGGTGTTTTCAGTAGCTAACTTACTTATGCGCGTTGGCTCAGTTGTCTCGGACGTAGATTCGGGGTTGCCACTTGAGCTTGCTTCCTCTTCTGGTTTCGGTATAGATACCTTCTGAGATTCGTCTTTGTCCCCTATAAGGAAGGTTGGGGCGTCTTGAGACGTGTCCCTTGTCTCACTTCTTGGCTTCGTAAATGCGAGCTTCGAAGTTGAGGCAATAGTTGGCCCTTGGGCTCTATCTGTAGGGGTAGTCACCTTAATCGGAGTGGCTACATCCTTATCTGAAGCACTGTCCTGACTATTAATGTCGGAGACAAGTGCTTCGGCTACGGTGCGGTTAAACGCATCGGCAGCAGCGGCGGTTGCTTCTGCGGCAGCGCTAGCGGCTCTTCTTACGTTCGGCCTTACGTTTCTTTGCAGGGGTATTGTCTTTCTTAGTCATAATCTTAATTTATGACTTCAGTATTATTCTCTTAAGGAATGACTGTGTTTAGGAAAAATTCGTGGTAGATATCTACCTTTACGTTCAAGTATTCTAAGTAGTTAATACCTTTGCTAACTTTTAAAATGTGTAAGTTTCGGTCTATTAAGGCGATATTAACGCCTTAGAGTAAATAATCGCTTAGGTTAAGTCGAAGTATAACATAATTTAAAAGTAAATAAACGAAATGAGTCTTTTAGTAAAGTTAGGTATGCCTCGTGAAAACAGCAATACTTTGAGAGATTGTGAGGCTGAGACATTGCCTATATATAATCCTCTCAGTACTGTTTTCGCCGAAGGGATTTTATTTAGTGTTTCGTTGTCGCTCTATTAGAAACTATGGTATGTTTCATTGGGGCGAATCCGAGAGACTCATAAAATCCTATCTTTAGAATAGAAAAAAGAAAGAAGAAAAAAAGAAAAAAAACTCTTGATATCCATAGTTATTGCATTAACCAATAACTTGCCACTTATCACGGATTACCGACTTAGCCTTCATCAGACTGGCACATCTGGTTGGCTGAACGGAGGATAGACTAAGCAACGTTAATAGTCCTTAGAAACCTATGTTCGGTTGAGCCATCTCGCTACCGAAGTATTCAGATATAAATATATTTGGAAGGTAAATATTGTTATATTAATCGAACTAGACCAAATCTTATATTTGGTATTTTACAAAATATCTGATATGTGAAATGGAAAAAATATTTAATTAATATAAACCGTTAAAAACCATTCAAGAGTTTACGTACTTTTATGAGTACGTTTTACGTACTATTAAGAGTAGGTTTATATTACAAGATTCTAATGTGGAGGCCTGGCTTTTACAGAGGAACAAGCAAATGCCACCAAGGAAGAAGTCGAGCAGGAGGAGGGCTCGGAATCAGAATCAATTGACAGTCCCAAGCCATCGAACACCCAGAAACGCACCGCCGACGAAGCGGAGCTCGATATCCAGCAGGACAAGGGAAAACAGCCCGCAACCGACAAGGAAACATTGAATGCATCCGCATTACTGTTCCAGTCCCAAGACCAAGTCAAGGATTTGAGCATGCTCAACAGATTAAGCTTATGCGAGTGCAGCTTGCCACTTTTTCGGACAGCAACAAGAATCGTACTCAACTGGAGTTCGATGCGATTTCACGTTCCTTCCTACCCACGCTACCAGACCAGCAGAAGGAAAAACTAATGAAAGGTAAGATGCTGACTTTAGAGGGAATTAAGTGTGCCCTAAGACCAGTTCATATTCGTGAGAAAGCCTCGGAAGTGTATTTTGGCGACGCAGAGGTAGCAAAATCGAGACCAAAGAAGGAGATTTTTACATCAGCTGCCGGCGTTATGCATGCGCCTTTGATTTGCTTGGCCTTGAACATGCTCTACAATGAGAAGTTCGATGCCGACAAAACGCACGTTTTGACCATATTGCATATCAGATACCGCTCTGCCAGTATCTCACAGAATGCACACCCAGCGCTGTCTCTCGGCTGGATTTGGAACACCGTTCAGGGTTTGATTCATACGCCGATAATACAAGAGTATCCACAATCGATAACAACCTCTTGTCCAGATTTCTGTGCCAGCCAACCAATCGTCTGCCCAATAGCGATTGTAAAACTTGCGGCACGGAAATTGCTTTCTGCTTGTGTGAGCGGCGCAAACCTCCACATAATCTTAACAATGGACAGCAGCGGGGTGTGTGCCTCCGTTTTAATCGCGGCGCTTGTTCCAACCGCAGTTGTAAGTACAAGCACGAGTGCTCAAACCCCGTCTGCAAGGATAAAACCTCGCATGGGGCCAATGCGCACAAGTCGGACCAGCACGAGTGACACAGGCCGCTGCCTGCATCCCTGAGTGTTCGCTCAGTTTGTATTCCACGCGCCCTCGCTACCAGTTTATCGGAATCTGTACATAATCTCAAGACACCACCCACAGTACTAAATACAACCGCCGTTGCCAATGCCCTCATAGGGTATGATCCCACTGAGAGCAGTGCCATTTTGCGCATGTTATCAGAAGGGGCCCGCATTGGCTATCAGGGTACTAGGGATAGGTCTCATGTATATAAAAATCATAAAACTGCATACGAAAATAGCGCCGGAATAACGGCTGGGATTCAGTCAGATTTGCATGCAGGTACGCCCATTGGTCCCTTTACATGCGATCAACTCGACCTACCAAGTTATCGCATTTCTCCACTCAGTCAAGTTACATCACTGCGCCCTGACGGCACTCAGAAATGTAGATGCATACATGATTTGTCACACCCTCGCAAGGGTTCCGTCAAGAGTATGAATGCGGAGATCGAGTACGAAAGTATAAAATATACCACTCCCCGTTCATTCCTAGACAAAATCAATGAATGCCCGCAAGGCACTCGCATAAGTGTCATCGATATTGTCGGCGCATTCCGACTTATCCCTGTAAATAAAGATGACATTGGTCTTTTGGGATTTCAGTGGGACAACTATACTATTTTGAGGTGTGTCTCCCCTTTGGACTCGCAAGTCCTCCGTCGATCTACGAACGCCTCGCAAAAGCTATAGATTGGGCCCTCCGGTCAGCACAGATATATTCTGGTCGATGGGTCGATGATTTTTCGTTCCTCCATCTACCGGATAGATATGAGTAAAAAATCAAGATCATTTTGGACATATTTGAACGCTTCAACATTCCAATCTCAGCCGTAAGATTCATAGGAAGCAAGCTGATAGCAGAATAGATGGTATTTCGGACATCAAGCGTGCACGTTATCTGCAGCTGTTTGAGACACACAGAGTCACCACCACAGCCACTATCGGTACACTCGCCTCGCTGGCGGGCAAGGTCATTTGGCTGACAGCGATCCTCCCACAGGCCCGCCCGTATGTCCAGCGCATTTACTGGGTGCTACCAGCAGGGAAGCGCTGGCCGAAACACAAGTACATTCATGTGCCGCAAGAAGTCCGAAATGACTTCAGCTCACTAGCACGAATCTTACGGGCCTGGTCGGGCACGTCAATGATTGCTCGCCCTTTACGTACGGATTTGGTTGTTGCCTCCGATGCGTCCAGCACGATCGGCGGTGGGGTCTATATCTCGACGACAGGGCAGTGGTTCTTTATGTCTTGGGGTGAACACCACTCCAAATGGAAATAAAAGTTTCTCAACCGCACACCTTCGCCCGTAAGCATCTGTACCGCCTATTCCATATGCGCCCTCGAGCTGATGATGGTTGTGTATCTGCTAGCACTGGGTAACGAGGAATTTCGCGGTAACACGGTACGCATACTTTGTGATAATCAGACGGCTGTGGCTGATATCGCATCGCGTTCGTCTAATATACCAGAAAATCTCGACCTCTTGCGCCTTTTGACTGAAGTCGAGCTATCAGTAGACTGTGCCGTCGAGGGCGTGCACATCCCAGGGCCTGCTAATACTATCGCGGACGCTATCTCCCGCAGCGATATGTCCAAGGCACGTACGCTACAACCAAACCTCTGTGCGTTGCCTATGCCCTTCAACAAGATAGTGGCAGATTACGAACAATCGCTCATTGAGCGCTTTGCATCGGGCCTCTGACCGTGGTCAAAACCATGGCTATAATATACTTATAAATATTTATACGCCAGCCAATTGACACGCTACAAATTTTTATTTTATTTTAACTCCACAATACGATTGGTTACTCGGTCGCGCGAGTTAATTACGAGTTATGTGCTGCTCAGCAACACGTAAAGCAACACGGAAAAAACAAAAGACAGTAATGCATGATTCGATGGGATCACTTGAGACTCACAGGGCTCCGCTGACCCCACCAGTGTGCTACCCTTTCGCTCGGATATCAGCCGACCACGGAACTTTGCACCAGACCTCCTGGAAAAAGCCCTGCTCCAACGGACAAGGGAGACGTTTGCGTTCGCTACGAGACCATCTACGAAAGCAACCACCCACAGCGTGCAACGCCAATTTTTAGATTTCCTGGTTGCACAGCATATCCCCATTCCAACAGATGTGCTATCAGGAGTGCTACCAGTACACGCTTTGCTCCGGATTTTATTCTGTAGCTGGATAGACGCCAGACACCTGGAGCCCTCGTCCATTAGCACGTACGTGGCGCATGTACGTGTCCATTACCGAAACAATGGGCTACCGCTGCCCTGACGCTGGCCACTAGTTGACAATTTTTCGGAAAGCAATCCGTCGTCGACGCGTCGCGGAAGGACGGATCACCCCAGTGCGAGATAGACGACCGCTTACGCCTGCGACAATCCAACGGCAACTGATGCCGTATTTCGCACGTAATCAACACGACTTGCAGGCGATGCGCCTATATCCAGTTATACTCGTGGGGGTATTTGTAGTGATGCGCTCGGGCGAGCTTACAGTGCACAGCGGACTCGAACAATGCTCCGAGAATATCCATATTCATCGTGGTAAGGAGGTCCGCCTGTTCGACGACTACGCAGAAATTACTTTACCTGTGTCTGAAACTAGCGTTGACCGAGCGACAAAAAAATGTGTTCCAAAGCTACCAGCAAGCATGGCTGCAGTATGTCCGGACCGTGTCCTCGTCAACTGGCTCACACGGACTTCCAACGAACCAGACACAGCTCACCTCTTCTCCATTGAAGGCAAGCCCTATGAGAAAGCCACGTTCTCAGCGCAACTAAGACGAACACTCACCGTGTGCGGTTTAGACCCTACCGTATATAGCGGACACTCACTATGCATTGGCGGACTAACTGCATTGTGTGAAGCCGGCATCCCTGAGAACGAGGCCATGATTATAGGATGCTGGACATCCGAAGTGAACCGCATATACTGGCAACGGACTGCCAAGGACCTTAATCGCATCGCCGCGGCGCTCTCGCACTTCATCAATGCGACCGGTTTGCCATATATATATATATATAAATATATATATATATATATATATATTACATGCTCTATACGTTATTAC